CGGAGACGCCACCTCCGTCACATTTGGGAGCGCAACATTAAACTGCACAAGCCCAAAGGCAGCGGGCTGGACTGCAGCAACGCCTGCGCCATCATGGTGGATGATGATGGATCTGACAGCAGCTCCACCTACGCTAACAACCTAAATCACAACACAGAGCCGTTGCCCATCGAGTTGGATCTGCTGGTTTGTCTAAACGTCGTCCTGACCACCTTCTCCTCTCAGGTTGCTCTGGTTCTAACCAACCCCATCTGATCTTGTCCCAGGTGGGCAAAGGTCGCTTTGCTCAGGTGTATAAGGCTAAACTAAAGCAGACCACCTCGGATCAGTTTGAAACTGTGGCTGTGAAAATCTTCCCCTATGAGGAGTATGCCTCCTGGAAGAACGAGAAGGACATCTTCTCAAACACAGACCTGAGACACGAGAACGTCCTTCACTTTCTGACAGCTGAGGAGAGGAAGGTGGAGAAACAGTACTGGCTCATCACCGCCTTCCACCCCACAGGAAACCTGCAGGTCAGAGCCCCACCAGGAGGACATGATGCTGTTAGAGGTACCAGGCTGAACATCTCTCTGCTCCTCAGGAATTCCTGACCCAGCATGTCCTCAGCTGGGAGGAGCTCCAGGTGTTGAGCAGCTCTTTGGCCCGGGGAGTCGCCCACCTCCACAGTGACCGGCTGCCCTGTGGACGCCACAAGGTGTGTGTGTGTGTGTGTGTGTGTATGTGTGTGTGTGCGTGCGTGTGTGTGTGTGTGTGTGTGTGTGAGAGAGAGAGTGAGTCGTGGAGTATGGCTGCTTATACTGAGCCAGGATCCTCTGGAGGTTTCTTCCTGTTAAAAGGGAGTTTTCCTCTCCACAGTCGCTGCATGCTTGCTTAGTATGAGGAATGCTGTAAAGACTCTGACACTAGTCAGTGACTCGATGCGACCTGCTGGGTTCCTTATATAGGAAACATTATTTCTGACTGGCTTAATGAACTGACCTGGATTGGAATGTTTATTATGGGAAGTGTCTTGAGACGACTCTTGTCGTGATTTGGCGCTTTATAAATAAACTTGAATTGAACTGAATTGAATTGACAGGTCTTCTTGGACAGCGTGGTCCTGTGCTAGAGTGACCATTACATCCATGCTGGAGCTCTTTCAGTAGCTCCTTGTGGAGGAATGAGATTTCACTCCGCAGGAGCATGTGACCAAACAGGTGACCAGCATGAGGAGGAGGAGCCAAGCCGTTGTAGCTGTGAATGGGTCCTCCACATCCTACTGAGACCCCGACAGTTGCAAAAAACAAATTCAAGGAACTCAGAACAGGAGAGAACCCCAGCTGATGGGAATTATGGGACATTTTAGGGGTGCTAAGTCTGATCCTCACCTGTTCTATCTTGTCGTAAAGGTGACTGGTCAGTAACACCAGACTCTACCGTTACACCATAGAAATAATGCAACACAAAAGCTCTACTTGTAGTAAGGTTAGCTCTAACATCTGTATTTTGTTACCACCACAAACAGAAATGTGGGTTGATTTTGACCAAGGAATGATAAAATCAGCTGTTGTGTGTAGTTTCATCTTCAGTTGGTGTAGAGGTTCCTGCTCTGGTGTGACACGACGCCCACATGACACGTCGCTATTTTAAATCTGGAAAAAAGTTTGTTTTTGTAGCTGAAGCTGAACAGAACGGTGTGGTCCCAGAACTTTTGATCTGTTGCTCCAGCATCTTCTCCCACTGATGAATAAAACCTTGTTTAACACAACTAGTTCAGTTTTACAGTGCATGTAAAATGCTGTTGATTATCATGTTGAACTGAACCCAGGAAGAGACTTTTTAACTGAATCTGTTGGTGCCCTGAAGGTGCCCATCGTCCACAGAGACCTGAAGAGCTCCAACATATTAGTGAAGAAGGACCTGACCTGCTGCCTGTGTGACTTTGGCCTGGCGCTCTGTCTGGACAGCAGCCTGTCAGTAGATGATCTTGCCAACAGTGGACAGGTAAACCAAGACCTGGCAACATGCCCTCAGACCTGTTGGTGATGAACGTTCAACATAGCATATGAAACTTTTGTGGGCTCACACGCCCACCCACACCTTCACACACACACAAATATTACATCAAACTGACCAGCTTGATCTAGGGAGGCTTGAATTTTTGCCATAGCGATGCAATTTGCAACAAAAGCATGCAAAACTTCAGAGAGTATGTTACCAATACACTTTACATGGAACCTTCAAGCATTAGGAGAACCATAGCGCAACAAAGACCTGTTATTTTTGCTTTATGTGATTAAAGAAACATCTACTGTTTTACATTTTCAAGCATCCAACTCCGTCATGTGTGAACTGATGTGAACCGTTTTTCTACAGGTTGGTACTGCTCGTTACATGGCGCCTGAGGTGCTAGAGGCCCGACTCAATCTGGAGAACATTGAGTCCTTCAAGCAGACTGACATTTACTCCATGGCCTTGGTACTGTGGGAAATAACATCAAGATGCAAAGCTATCGGAGGTCAGTGTGCATGTGCATGCCGCAAACACAAATGGTAACAGGTTAACACGTAACACATGAGCAGACATGTAAGCAGACACGCTCTAGGAAAAGAGATTGAGAAAGGACAAAAGTGACAGACTCTGAGGTGAACTAGAGCAGACTGACAGGTCATCGGGTAGAGTTGGGTGTTTTTATCCTACAATAAAGCAGTTTTCCTGTTCTTACACATGACAAACAGAGACAACAACCCAGTTAGAGACAAACGACTCAGTCAGAGACAAAAGACTCAGTCAGAGACAAACAACCTAGTCAGAGACAAATGACTCAGTCAGAGACAAACGACTCAGTCAGAGACAAATGACTCAGTCAGAGACAAACGACTCAGTCAGAGAAAACAACCCAGTCAGAGACAAACAACACAGTCAGAGACATCAACCCAGTCAGAGACTAACGACTCAGTCAGAGAAAACAACCCAGTCAGAGACAAACAACACAGTCAGAGACATCAACCCAGTCAGAGACTAACGACTCAGTCAGAGACAAATGACTCAGTCAAAGACAAACAACTCAGTCAGAGTCAAATGACTCAGAGACAAACGACTCAGTAAGACACAAAAAACTCAGTCAGAGACAAACAACTCAGTCAGAGACATCAACCCAGTCAGAGACTAACGACTCAGTCAGAGACAAATGACTCAGTCAAAGACAAACAACTCAGTCAGAGTCAAATGACTCAGAGACAAACGACTCAGTAAGACACAAACAACTCAGTCAGAGACAAACAACTCAGTCAGAGACAAACGCCTCAGAGTCAAACAACCCAGTCAGAGACAAATGACTCAGTCACAGACAAACGACTCAGTCACAGACAAACAACCTAGTCAGAGACAAATGACTCAGTCAGAGACAAACGACCTAGTCAGAGACAAATGACTCAGTCAGAGACAAACGACTCAGAGAAAACAACCCAGTCAAAAACAACAACCCAGTCAGGGACAAACGACTCAGTCAGAGAAAACAACCCAGTCAGAGACAAACAACACAGTCAGAGACATCAACCCAGTCAGAGACTAACGACTCAGTCAGAGACAAATGACTCAGTCAAAGACAAACAACTCAGTCAGAGTCAAATGACTCAGAGACAAACAACTCAATAAGACACAAAAAACTCAGTCAGAGACAAACAACTCAGTCAGAGACATCAACCCAGTCAGAGACTAACGACTCAGTCAGAGACAAATGACTCAGTCAAAGACAAACAACTCAGTCAGAGTCAAATGACTCAGAGACAAACGACTCAGTAAGACACAAACAACTCAGTCAGAGACAAACAACTCAGTCAGAGACAAATGACTCAGTCACAGACAAACGACTCAGTCAGAGACAAACAACCTAGTCAGAGACAAATGACTCAGTCAGAGACAAACGACCTAGTCAGAGACAAATGACTCAGTCAGAGACAAACAACTCAGAGAAAACAACCCAGTCAGAAACAACAACCCTGTCAGAGACAAATGACCCAGTCAGAGACCAACGACTCAGTCAGAGACAAATGACTCAGTCAGAGACAAACGACTCAGAGAAAACAACCCAGTCAAAAACAACAACCCAGTCAGGGACAAACGACTCAGTCAGAGAAAACAACCCAGTCAGAGACAAACAACACAGTCAGAGACATCAACCCAGTCAGAGACTAACGACTCAGTCAGAGACAAATGACTCAGTCAAAGACAAACAACTCAGTCAGAGTCAAATGACTCAGAGACAAACAACTCAATAAGACACAAAAAACTCAGTCAGAGACAAACAACTCAGTCAGAGACATCAACCCAGTCAGAGACTAACGACTCAGTCAGAGACAAATGACTCAGTCAAAGACAAACAACTCAGTCAGAGTCAAATGACTCAGAGACAAACGACTCAGTAAGACACAAACAACTCAGTCAGAGACAAACAACTCAGTCAGAGACAAATGACTCAGTCACAGACAAACGACTCAGTCAGAGACAAACAACCTAGTCAGAGACAAATGACTCAGTCAGAGACAAACGACCTAGTCAGAGACAAATGACTCAGTCAGAGACAAACAACTCAGAGAAAACAACCCAGTCAGAAACAACAACCCTGTCAGAGACAAATGACCCAGTCAGAGACCAACGACTCAGTCAGAGACAAATGACTCAGTCAGAGACAAACAACCCAGTCAGAGACCAATGACTCAGTCAAAGACAAATGACTCAGTCAGAGAAAACCCAGTCAGAGACAATCGACTCAGTCAGAGACAAATGACTCAGTCAAAGACAAACAACTCAGTCAGAGTCAAATGACTCAGAGACAAACGACTCAGTAAGACACAAACAACTCAGTCAGAGACAAACAACTCAGTCAGAGACAAATGACTCAGTCACAGACAAACGACTCAGTCAGAGACAAACAACCTAGTCAGAGACAAATGACTCAGTCAGAGACAAACGACCTAGTCAGAGACAAATGACTCAGTCAGAGACAAACAACTCAGAGAAAACAACCCAGTCAGAAACAACAACCCTGTCAGAGACAAATGACCCAGTCAGAGACCAACGACTCAGTCAGAGACAAATGACTCAGTCAGAGACAAACAACCCAGTCAGAGACCAATGACTCAGTCAAAGACAAATGACTCAGTCAGAGAAAACCCAGTCAGAGACAATCGACTCAGAGACAAACGACTCAGTCAAAGACAAACAACTCAGTTAGGGACAAATGACTCAGTCAGAGAAAACAACCCAGTCAGAGACAAACGACTAAGTCAGGGTGCTTTGAAGGACATATTTGTCCTGAGAGGTTTATGGTACTTTTTGTTGCTGTGAAGGTCCAGATGCTGTGATTCATGTGGTGAAGTGGATAACCTTAAACGTTTCAGATTACAGGTATGGGATTAAAACATTCTCTCCAACACAGCTGATAATGGATTTTTTTAGGTTATATCTGACTACATGCTGGACCCATACTGGCCTGAAAGCACAAATACAACAATAAAAGACCCGTGTTTCATTCATTTATTCAATCTGAAAAGAGCCTGAAATAATCCAGGTTGTTTACTTACCTCAGGATGTAGTTGGATTTACTACATAAACCCCACCGCACTGGCAAAACCAAAGAAGGCATTTTGGTTTATTTAACTAAAACATCAAACTCAGGAATATTAAATTAATGTAAGCTGAAGGTCTACAAACAGAAGGAACCACATGTTATGTGCAGGATGAGGGTCTTTATGTCAGCAGGATTGCTGACGTTCCCGTCTGTCAGACGGCACCTCAGCCTGAGCTCCAGGTCTGCAGCAGGAATCTCAGGAATGTCTGATGAGTGAGGGAGACAATTCGGTCTCTGTTCTTCTCCTTCTTTGGGCAGAAAATCAGGGAGAGCTGAAGCAGCTTTTTCTACCTGATCCAGCTGGCTGGTGTCCGTAACGTGTGTGTGAAGGAGAAGTCACTCTGCCAGGTGGAGAGAGGCTTTAAGTGCTTCTGAAGGAGCTTCATTCGGGGAAAACACAGGGTTCCTCGATTGAATCGCTCCACATGAAGGTCAGAACAGTGTTCAACGTCCACACCGTTATAATTAAAGTGCACAAGGAGGAGCAACAACCCTGACTTTGTATTCAACTCATAGGCGTCATTTTAACCGGGGACGCCGGGGACATGTCCCCGGCAAAATTTGTAATTGGCAGCTGTGTCCCCCCCACTTTCAAAAAAGCCTGCTGATGAGCATTTTTGTTTTACCAGCTCAGATCTTATACCAGGGGTCGGCAACCTGTTCCCATCAAAGAGCCATTATTACCCGTTTCCCACAGTAAAGAAAACACTGGGAGCCACAGCAGCGCAGCGTTGTGGGCGGGGCCTACCCTCAGACAGCAGAGAGCTGCTCACAACCAGGTGACAGCAGCCGGTACCATGGGCGTCGCACCCGTGGGGGATGCAACACCCACACTTTTCCAGCTGTTTTGCTCACCTCCACACCAGTCTGGTTTCTTTAGGTCGCACTCTCTCTGTTTGCCTCATCTCCTTCTTCACCTCCCCTATTCTGACAGCCGATGTCGGGTTCAAGGAGAGCAGGAGATGGAGGGACGGAAGAGGTTGACTGAATTCATAATTTTACATCTTGACATTAGCTGTACAAAGTCTGAGTTTGATCAAGTGAAGAACACCAATCTGCAGAGGTTTATAACAGGCGCGGCACCAGGTTTTCATTTTTGGGTGGGCCACGGTAATTCTGGACGGACCTTAATAAGCAGAGACAAGTGAAGCAGGCAGGTCGCGCTAGAAAATTTCGTTTAAAAAGACGTCATAAATGTGTTCCCCCGTCATTTTTATTTCTAAAATATGAAGTAAAAACTCCCAATTTAATTTTCATTCATTTGTCATTAATATGTAGTCTACACCCGTGCGTTAAGTGGACCATCTTCCAGTAAAAGCAAAGCATCCGGCCCACCTCTCCAAATGCGTAAAATGTGCATCACAGCCACTAGGCGCACCGCGCGCACCACCAGCTACATCAGCACAGACAAGAGCAGAGCAACTAGAGAAAGAATAGAGGATAATTGTGTCTGGATGTGGATGGAGATTACATTTTACATCAGTCTGATCATCATTTAAATACGTAAACCATCACCTGTCTTCTAGTCCACGCTATCAGCATTATTTTGTGTGTGTTTTCCACTTCAAACACTGGTCTAACCAACCAGACCAGTGTGTCCAGTAACACATTAATGTTACAATTAAACAGTTTCACTTCATGTAGGCTAGGAACATTTCACCTACCGTGGCCCGACCGCTTCTGCTCCACATGAACTTTGTGCGTGACCAAATGTCTCTACAGGAGCTTTATGAGCTGAAGAGGCGACTGGATGCATCATGCGTCTCTATATTGGAGACGGGAACAAGCACTGTTCAGCCAAACTTTCATAATTTCATAAAAATAACATTTTCCAAGTGACAGATCCCTCAGAGAGACCGGGTTTCCAGACCGCTTCAGTGGGAGGA